GTGGCCCTGCCAGTGCTGGAGGATATGGTCGTGGTGCTCAACCAACACCAACCGCGCAGTGGAGTGCTCCCGCTACGCAAAGTTACGGAAACGGCTTTGGTGGTTACCAAGGCTAATTTTCTATACGGCCGCACGCATTTATGACCTCTTTTGGAGCAACTATTTTCAGGTGTATTTTGCTTTGTCAAGTTCTTATGGTCTTATGGGGAGCCGGGATATTAAATTTTGGTGGCATAATCTCATTTCCGCATCTGTGCTTTGGTCTCTTATTTGACGGCTAGGCCGAGCAGCGTTGAAGTTGCATAGGGCGCTCTATTTCAAGATAATTTTCTTTCCATCCGTCGTAGTTTTCCTATGTTCCTTAGTGTTGGAAAGGTGATTGTTACGTCCATCAAAAAAGTTGTTTTCTTCTCTTCTAGGTTATCTTTGCCTTTGGATTATTTCTCTGCATTTGATTTATGGTCTCTCGTTCTTCGCCTTTTCTCCTCATGAGTCCACGAATCTACTATAGCGACTACCCCGTTTATATTGTGCCATGACACTTCTTCTTTTTGGTCAACATTGTCATTATCGATATGGCTGGCTGTTACATAAAATATGTTATACGAAAGATTGTAATGAAAATGATAGGATTGACCTAAGATTTTTCGGCAGAATCGAAGGATTTGGTTGGCAGGTAGGAAGCCAAAATGGGATGAGGGCACTGTAGAGTTAGAATCATTCACAGCTACCCATAAAAACTAATGCTGTCAAACATCAACAATGAAAACTACAGATTCTCTCTACTCTATATTTATGATAGTGAAATAGGAATCGATCGCTTTGTGACTCGATAGATGAATCAATAGATCAGTGAAAATGCCTCACTCAAGGTTGGAATGATCCACCAGGGGGGGAGGGGTATCATGGTATCTGGGTCTTGTGAGGCTGAGATTTGAAAACGTTGTATGAGAAAGTTCACATGGTTAGGTTAGATATGATGGCCAAGCAAACTACCTACCTAGTAGGCACTAATAACTAAATATTAGATGAGGAGATGAACTAACGGCATTCCTAGCTGCTAGAGGTCTTAGCCCACTGAATGGTTCCTGGCTGATATAAGCTTGAGATCAATTGATATGCTATTAAACTCAATAAACTATCAAATGGATGGATGTACACACAATTAGGTTTGGTAATTGCCCCACAAAATTTCCTTACATAAATCAATGTGGGGTAACCTAAATTGATTGATTTGATACGACGCGGTCCTTCCCAACGCGGCTTCCCGTGACGCGAGGAAATGACAAAACAATTTTCAATTGTTCAATTCGTCACTTACCTAGTACTGTACTCTATTCACTTACCTACAACAGGAAGAGGTGAAACTAACTGCATTGCTAACAATTCGCACTTTCCCCAAACGATTTTATGCCATTTGGCCGTACCATTCCTCCAGCACTTTCTTCACTCACTAGAAGTCTTTTCGCGCAACGCTGGAGAGCGCATCCTCATTCAACATTCTACAACACCAATGCACCAACTCGAGGAGCTTCATACTCTTCTATCGCAAACGCGATGTTAAAAAGAGCGGTCAAAGCTAAGGCTACAGAGCCTTCACATTCGAATGCGAAAAACGATGCAAAAAAGATAGCAATTACGCCAAATAATTTGACACGAAATGGAAATATTCAAGAATCATTAAAAGCCAAACCTTCGCAGGCAATTGGCGGATTTATACAGCCCCTAAGGCCAGCTTCAGCAAATGGGAAGTTGTTGCCTAAGGAGAGTCAATCGACCGTTATATCAAGTGTCGGCAGCTCTCGTATGAGTTCGTTATTCAGCGGGGATGACGCATTCAAAGATACCCAGAATAGCAGCTTTGATCTTCTGGAAGACTTTGCGGACGAATTCAGCGAGGACGATGCCATAGATTTCGATTACAGTTATACTTTGCCTACACAACCTTTGTCTACCAATGCTTCCATAGCAGCGCCCCCAAAGCCTACCTTTCCAACACTACCTTCGTCCCGATTCGGCGAACGATTCAATGCACAACGTGTGCCAAGTAGTAGCGCGCAGACTTGGTCGTCCTCTCCACCTGCACATAAAGTAACGCCACCTGGAGCTCTAAAACGAAGAGAGCGAGAGCGAGAGCAATTGGCGGCAAAGTCTGCCATAGTCGTTGAAGATGACGAGGCACCAAAATCGAAACGACGTACATTACCATGGCTGCAGCAGAAGTCAGAACAAGATGAGGTATCGCTTAAACAAGAGCAAGCCGAAGAGTCAAGCTCCGAAGGGATTGGCTCATCTGTTGCCCCAGTTTGTTTCAAATGTAAAAAGACGGGTCATTATGTCAACGAGTGCCCTACCAATGGGAAGGGAAAGCCAAGCGAGTGGGATTTTAGCCCTCTACCTCATGACAAGAAAGATAAGCATTTGCCATGGAACACAACCGCAAGTAAGGTTGCAGAGGAGAGGAGGGCGGTCAAGGAGATGCGAAAGAGAAAAATCGACAAGGCTGAAAAGGCTGCAGCGGAGTCCCATGGGCGCACTAAGACTGCTAAACTGGCCCCGATTCAGTTAACTGACGAGCAAAATCGGGTCAAGGACCTTGTTGTGGATCAGGGCAAAAGTGTCTTTTTTACTGGATCTGCAGGTACTGGAAAATCCGTTTTGATGAGATCAATCATTGCTGCGTTGAAAAAGAAATATGTCCGCGAGGGTGACCGAGTTGCTGTCACAGCTTCTACAGGCTTAGCTGCCTGTAATATTGGGGGCGTGACACTGCACAGTTTTGGAGGTATTGGACTGGGTAAGGAGGATGTACCTACGCTTATAAAGAAAATAAAGAAAAACAACAAAGCTAAGCTTCGATGGACAAGAACTAAGGTTTTAATCATTGATGAGATTTCTATGGTCGATGGCGATTTGTTCGATAAATTAGAGGAGATTGCCAGAGGAATGCGTAACAATGGTCGACCGTTTGGAGGTATACAACTTGTGATCACCGGAGATTTCTTCCAACTACCTCCCGTTCCAGATTACAACCAAAAAAGTCGAGGTGTCAAATTCGCATTTGACGCTGCTACTTGGGGAACTGCAATTCATCATACAATTGGTCTAACAGAAGTATTTCGTCAGAAGGATCCTGGTAAGTTGGATCCATTATATCTATTCACTTAGGCTAACACTTTATAGTGTTTGCAAATATGTTAAACGAGATGCGGCTGGGGAAGGTCTCTCAAGACACTATAAAAGCTTTCGTTGAGATGAAACGCGCTATAAATTATGAAGACGACTTGACAGCTACAGAATTGTGCGTATAGGTGCATTGTCAACCCTTTTCATTACTAACTGTTGTTAGATTCCCAACCCGAAATGAGGTCGAGAATTCGAATACATTTAGACTGAGAAACCTACACGGCAAGGCATACAGGTTTGAGGCTGTCGACTCTGGGTCAATTACCGATGAAGGGATGAGGGAAAAACTTCTTTCCAACATGATGGCTCCTAAATCGATTGAATTGAAGAAGGGAGCTCAAGTCATGCTAATCAAAAACATGGATGATGGGCTGGTAAACGGATCACTTGGAAAAGTTGTTGCTTTTATGAGTGAAAAGTCGTTCGAGATCTACGATGCCAACCCAGATATACTCAACGAAAAAGAACTTTCCGATGCCGAAGAAGAAAACCACCGCCAATCAGATCTCGCAAGGTTCAAACAGACTAACAAGGAGCTACCTATTACTGGCGTCTCCAATCATGGAAGACTGTTTCCATTGGTGCGATTTTCCATTCCAGATGGAACTGTAAGAGACCTTCTTGTTCAGCCAGAGGATTGGAAGATTGAACTTCCTAACGGAGAGGTCCAGGCGCAGCGCAGCCAACTTCCTCTTATTCTTGCCTGGGCACTTTCCATTCACAAAGCACAAGGGCAAACCCTGGAGCGTGTCAAGATTGACTTGAAAAGAGTGTTCGAGAACGGCCAAGCTTATGTTGCGTTGAGTCGGGCAACAAGTCAAGCTGGCTTGGAGGTTCAGAATTTCGATCCAAAGAAAGTTATGGCCCACCCAAGGGTTGCAGAATTTTACAACAGCTTGTATAGCGTCAACAAAGCTTTGGCACACCCAAGAGTTGCGAAAGCAGATCCACCAAAGATACCAACGAAACCCATCAAGCCATTGCAAGACGATAATTTCTTCGACGAGGACGAGGAAGAGATGGCACGCCAATTCAGAAGTGGCGGGCATCTATGAGAATCATGCCGGTAGATTTTAAGGTGTTGCAGGAGTCACTGGAATTTGCTTAGATTTGCTCGATTGGGCTGTAAAGGTTATATGGTAGGCGATCTATGAATAGGTATTGAACCCGCAAAAACGGGATTGACTTTGCACGGCGCCATTGTTAAGTATGGGATGAAAAGACGAGTACGAGTTATACCCTCCATCTTCATGTGTATTAAATTTACTTACGAACAAATTACAAGGACTTCTTGTAAAATAGCTAATACAAACTGAATCCACACCATCACCTCCTTACCACCCATGCAATGTTTATACTTCAAGGAATGCTCGGGATATTTAATGTCGAAAATGTCTCTCATGTTGTAATACATACCTACCTACTCTTTGTGCACCGCCTCACAATATCTACCTAGTAATTACTTCTTAAGATGATTATCAAAAGTATCGCCCACGAGTATATTCAAATATATCTGGTGATAATGACGCTCTTTCTTGCTGTACCTACTAGGCACATACCTGCCTAGGTATATTGATGACTTGATTGATTGCCCAGTGAGTACGTTTCGTCCGTCTTGTAGGATCTACAACGAGACCTTCCTAAACAAACCTTGAAATTCACCCCGCGCCATCTATCTGTCTATCGATAAGGCGGCGGGGATGATATCTTGAGGCGGCGATTATTATCACTAGCTCTAAAACCCGATATACTTTTTTGTCTCACCTCGCGCCTCGCTATTACCTACCCTTGTAAACTCCCAACCATCAGAAAGAAAAATTAACAAAGCTGTCAAGTTTGTCCAGTTTGTTTCACGAGAAACACTTTCTCTTACACCCATTGCACCCATTTCGAATCATCATTCCACCAATAATTCTCTCTATCTTCATTCATTGAGAGCTATTTACCCAAAACTACGCGCTTATACCACCCTCCATCTCTTACTGCATATCGCGAAACTTTCTTCCCAGCCAGTGGTGAACTGCCAAAGAAACGAAACCCAACATGTCGAACCAATTTATTGGGCTTACCATGTTGGTGACGTTAAGTTCTCCACCTGGTGCACAATTGCGAGGTATCGTCAGTAGTATCGAACCGGGTAAAAGCTTGACTTTACGAGAAGGTTGGTGCTCACGTAACGTTAGCAAACGATTTCATTGCATTAGCTAACACGAAGTGCCTCATAGTTACATGCCCATCTAATGGCAAATATGTCCCTGAGTTTACAATTAACGCGGCGGAAATTACGGAATTGATTGAGGCTCGGAATGAAAATGTCAAGCCGCCCTCTCCGGTTATACAACAGAAGCCAGCGGTTGTACCTGCGTCGGTTGCGAAAAAGTTTGAGGATCCGGCGATTCTGAGCATGGGAAGGAGACCGGGATCGGTAGCTTCTCCTGCAGCATCGATTCCATCGTATTCTCAATTGGAGAGCGCTTCGATGGAACGCGATGGTTCAGCCCGAACTGTTGTTGGTCGTGAGAATAGGCGCAAAGAACAGAATACTTCATCCACCTTGCCCGATAGTTTGACAAGTCAGGAAATACACGATCAGGCGGAGCTGGAGCATGAAGAAGCGGAGATTTTGGAAGAACTCGATACAGAACTAGCTGAATTGTCGGTAGAGCCCGCTTTGACCAAATCAGGACGACAACGAACTCGCAGGAGAAAGAACCAAGGAAAGAAGCCTGTAGAACGTGTCTTCCAGGAGCCAATCGTTGGCCCTTCCAAAAATGCCCCCGGATCAAAAGGTTGGAGACAAACTCCTTTGCTGGAACCGGTCACTTCATTTCAACCATTTGCAACCCTGAAAAAGTCTCAAAGAAGGGGTAACAGGAATATGGACGAGAACGGCTGGGCTACTGAAGAAGCAACCGACGTGCAAGAGATGGGAGATTTTGACTTTGCTGGTAGTTTGGCAAAATTTGACAAGAAATCTGTTTTCAACCAAATGCAGGCTGAGGACGCAATAGCAGAATCAGATCGCTTAGTCGGACACAATCGCTTGCCCAAGGCAAAGCCCGGAACGTATGGGGGAAAGAATCTTCATCCTACCGAGAACGTTTTGGATACGCCAAACGGTGCGACAAAGGCTCCCGAACTTTGGAAGAGTGACGCTGATGATACCGACATCCAAGAAATAAGTAGTCAAAGAGGTTCAGGGAGTGGTAGAAACTCTCGTGCACGAAGACCAGAGAATAAAATAGCCAACCATCACAGACCTATTTCACGGAAAGGAAGTACTGTTCCAAGCTCCCAACCATCACGAAATATTTCAGTGGCGCCGTCAAAGCCTATGTTGTATCTTGTTCCTTCAGATCGTCGATGTGAACCTATCTCTGCGCTACAGATGCTTAACCTGGAGAATATCGCAGATGCTGAACTTGGCCTCACCGAAGACATGATGACTGAGAATGCAGGTCGTGGTATTGCTGAAGTTGGATTGTCGGCTGTGAACACTGGAGGTCGTGGTTTGACCCAAGGCAAGAAGTCTACAGTTCCAACGGTTATAGTCTTCGCCGGGAACAATAAGAGTGGACTCCGAGCTGTAGCAGCAGGTCGACATCTCCGAAATCACGGTCTTAACGTTGTGGTTTGCGTCCTCGGTCTTGAACGTGATTCCGAACTTTTAGTTGGGCTTAGATGCCAAATCAAAGTTTTCCGCAGTTTTGGTGGTAAAGTTTTTACCAAGACTGAACTTCTTGATTTCATTAAAACATCAGGCGCACCTATCGATCTCATTATAGATGGTCTTCTTGGTCTCACAATGTCATTCGAAGAATTACGAACAGGTGATCAGGCTGCAGCTTACGAACTCATTGAATGGGCCAACCGAAGTAAAGCATCGGTTCTCGCCATTGATGTTCCTACGGGCATTGATCCCACGAGTGGAAAGGTCAGTGTAATTGATGGACGAAAATTATACATCCACGCGAGATATGTCGTTGCAATGGGAGCACCTAAGAAAGGTCTATTAGAAGCAATGAGTATGGGTGAGGGAGTGGGTGACGAGGAGAAATCAGGATTAGGAATTACAAGTGCAAACGCGAAAGCGAGTGGGGAATGGCAACTTTTCGTTGCGGATATTGGACTCGGGATGGCGGTTTGGAAGAAAGCTGGTACGAGAGTCAGAAGAGGAGTGGAGTTTGAGGGTAGTTGGGTATTGGGAATGAGGTTTCAGAGCGGTGCGGTAGTTGCATGAATCTCGCGTCGAGATTGAGATTGAGGTTTATTTCCTAGTGGGCTAATTATTATATGGTGTGCGTGGATGGGATGGGATGGGATCAAAAGCATAAATTTGGGAGTGGGTGTGGAATGGGATCAATAGCATTGCAATGGCGTTCTAGTTGTTGCATATTTTTGGCATTGGCTTACTGCTTGGCTAACTGGCTGGTTGGGTTGGCTTTGGAAGATGAGAAGATGGAAATGAATGAAACGAAATGACAAGGTAGTAATGACTTACTTGTTCTTAGATGAGATGATGATATCATGGAAGAGGAGAAATGGGAATTAGATATAGATATAGATATCAATACCAGTATCAATATCTTTACTTTTATCAGTGAAACACAGGGTTTTCATCTTTGCTTTCATTTCATTTTTCGGACTACTGGTACCTAGGTAGTGAAAGTTCATCTCTCGGGTATATGAGTTATCACGCATTAGTTTTGCGATGTAAAGATTACGATGCGAAGACTACGATGCGAAGACTACGATGCGAAGGTGTAAGGTTCGTAGATGATTAGAGGAGAGAAACTGAGGGGGGTTGGATTGGATTGGGTTGGGTGATTTGTATAGATGATCTGTATTACATATATTAAGTTCTATTTGGACTAAATTGCTATTACTATTACGGATATGATATGGTACGTACAGTATGTTTTATGGTGTTGGGGTATATATCTAGGTAATTCATGGATATGTGAATATGTGAATAGGGGTAATAAACTCGGATAGTCATGGCGGAGATGTGTCAGATGGGGAGGTTGTGAGGTTGTTTGTTAATCTGTTTTATATGTGGAAGGTTGGTATTTGAGTGTGAGTGAGTATATCGTTTACACATCAACTTCCAGTACCAAGTCAAAGTAGCTACGCACAGAATCTATGGTAGATCCGAACGAATATGATCGCCAATCCAAGCTGGCATGTTTCGCAAGATCAATCATTCCTCTAAACTCTCAAGAGATCTATATTCATAACCGTGATACTACGAAGTCGTGTAGTGTAGTCTCATGGACGTCATATCGGTAAACTAGGCTATCTTGAGTATTTATATGCGTGGAATGGAAATATCGGGATGGTTTTTGGATTGATGAATCATGAACGCCACCGCAAACGCAAAATAGTGCCCTGGTTATTTCTTCCAGACAGTGAGTCTATGTTTCCCTCTGACTTGTTCTTCATCCTTGAGTATCGGTCTCAAAGGCTCCAATGTCAAGAGATAGCAAGCGATATGGCATGTTCTACAAAGAAAGGCCACGAATATGTCTTGTTACGCAGCTACCTCGTGCAAAACTGGAGCACTATATTACTTCGATGTTTAGAAGCTTCAATTTCGCTTTGTATGAGATTGGGAATTTGTATATAGATTGCTACTTCGAACCACCCACAACAAGAGAGAAAACTGGAAGTCCAGGAGTAAGAGTCAAAATGAAGTGTGAAGTATTTGGTATATCAAGTTTTAGGAAGCTTTTTTTTTCTTCAGAAGTTTAGAAACGGTCATTTTGTTGTATAGCAGCTCCGGTTTGCAGAAAATAACATAATGTGGAAGTTTCTCGTCGAGCTTTGCTTTGGTAAATCATCTAAATTGCTTCTAGGTGGAATAATATAATCTTACCAAGATGTTGGAGATGGAGTTGATGTAAGATTACCTGGGTATGCGTGTCAGCAAACAGTTAAATACCAACATGTTGGTTTACAATTAGTACAAATATCTAACTCACATTTCATCCATTCATCCATTCATTCACGAAAAAACACTTTTCCCATTCTCCCTTCTCAAACACCCAAACACAATTTCCCCAAGACACAAAATCCCCAAAACACAAAATCCCTCCCGCCAATCTCTCATCCATCTACCCCAACATGGCCTTCACCTCCATGCTCACGCAATATTTCCCCCCCGCCCCCCTCTTCACCGAAAAAGACCTCCCCTCCCAAAAAGGCAAAGTCTTCCTCGTCACCGGCGGCAACCAAGGCGTCGGCTACGAGCTCATCAAAATGCTCTACCCAACCGACGCCACCATCTACATGGGCAGTCGCAGCTCCTCTTCCGCGCACACCGCCATCGCCGAAATCACCGCCTGCGATCCCGCCCGCGCGGAAAATCTCATCTTCCTCCCACTCGACCTCATGGATTTCCACAGCATCCGCGCCGCGGCTGAGATGTTCCTCGCGCGCGAGGAAAAACTCGACGTGCTGTGGAATAATGCGGGGATAGGGGGATTGCCGCCGGGGACGAAAACGAAACAGGGCATAGAGGGTCATATGGGGGTGAATGTGGTGGGGACGTATTATTTCACGCGCTTGCTGCTGGGTTGTTTGAGGAGGGCGGTGGAAGGGGGGGTGGAAAATAGTGTGAGGATTGTGTGGACGACGAGTTGGATGGCGGAGGGGAAGAGTCCTGAGGGGGGTGTGCGCATGCAAGATTTGGAGAGGGGGGGGTGTGGGAATGAGTATGTGGATTATGCGGTTTCGAGGGCGGCGGGGTGGATGATGGGGGTTGAGGCGGGGAAAAGGTGGGGAGGAGAGGGGATTTTAAGTGTATGTATATTTTTTTTCTATCCTTTTCTCCATCATCCCATCCCATCCCATCTTATCCCACACAATTCCTCCCCCCCTCCTCTCCCTCCCCCAACCCCAAACAAACTAACACCCCCTCCCCACCCCAGCTCATCCAAAACCCGGGCAACCTCCGCACACAAGCCTACCGCACGCAACCCCCCCTCACAAAATTCTTCATCAACCTGCTCCCCCACCCCGCCAAACTCGGTGCCTACACTGAGCTCTTCGCCGGACTCAGTCCGCTCACCTCGCAAGACCAAGGCGCGTATATAATTCCCTGGGGACGCATTCAGCCGCGCCATCGCCATCCGCGCGCAGACATCTACGCGGCCATGGACGCGGGACGCGGTGCCGAGGTGTGGGAGTGGTGTGAGCGTATGATTGGGAGTGGTGCTGGAGGGGATGTGTGAGGTTTGTGGGTGGATGTATGGGGAGAGGAGGAGGGGGGTGGGGAATGCGAAGCGGGGTGAGGGGTATGGTTTAGGGTTTATATCTATCCTTCTATTTATCGATCTATCGATTCACCCGATATAATAATAATCGTCAATCTTACAATCGTATATTCAATACAGTGCAGTGTAGTGCTCACGGACTAAATCAGATTCAGGATTTGATTCCAATTTACACCACGCATTAATTACCCCCATCAATCTCGCTATATACATACATACTAATTAAGCATCGCTGCGGAGGTATCAAGCTTAATTCTATAATCCCATAATCCAATTAGTCCAATCCAATCTCATTCGATCTCATTCAATCTAATGCCACGCAACGCAACCTCATCTTCACCCATATAATACATCAACCCAACCGAAACAAATATCCAAGTCTGGTCTAATCCACTCTATCTATGTACACCCCCCTCTTCGCGCGAGCGAGCTATTCTTAGGATTTCCAATCTTCTCCTCCTCTTATTCTATTAACCCCCGTGTCCCTATTATCTAACTTAATGAATACCCACAAGCATATATCTCATGCTCAAGTAACTCAATCCAATCTATCTTTTACCCAACCCATCCATCAATCCACCAATCAATCAATCAATCTGCATGCTAATCCCCCACCCATCACGACGCACTCGCCCAAATACTATGATTAACCCTCGCGGGCAACTTCCTCCCCTTCAACCTCTGATCAATCAGCCACAAACCCACTACAAACTCATCTCTCTCCAACCTGCCATATCGCTTTTCTTTCTGACGTCCCCAATATCCTTTCCCATGGACCAACTCCCAAGTCTCCTCCAACACATCTCCACCCAATCTACTCCTCTCCCACAGATCCTTCACCACCATTCCCGGCACCGTATCCGCCGCGCCTTCAATTTCCACCATTTCCCCACGATGATCTATCGTGTAGGGGAAAAGACCTTTATTACTCGCCCAGAGCGCTTCATATCTTTTTCTTTCTTTCTCCGTAATTTCATCTCTCCACCTCTTTCGGTTTCCCTCATCATGTTTATTCGGATGTTTCTTGACCAAGTGTTTCTTAGCCCTTCTCCGTTCCCCCTCTCCTTCTTCTTCCCTCAATTCTTTCTCCGTTTTCGGTTTCCGCATTGTAGTTTTCATAGTCGGAACTCCATTTGCTGATAAAGTGCTCTGAGGGGGTGTAGGCGTTCTCGAGTGATCGGATTGGAAAAGTTTCTTGAGTCGTCGAGGGGGAGGAGGAGCTGGAGGTTGAATAACTCCGGAAGATATAGAAGGAGTGGAAGCACGTGATGAAGCAAGGTATCCAGCTACCATAGCATTGGAAAGAGTTTCGGCAGTCATGCTCGGGGCGTAATTGGACGACTGAAGCCTTTTTTGCTCTGCTATTTTTGCACGCAAGGAGGGAGATTTGGGTTTAGGTTGAGAAGACGCGGATACAAATGAATCGTCCGAGGATCCATCATCGTCAGCATCGTTATTGTAGGATTGCCTAGACACTGGTTTTCTAGACAGCGGTATGGGTTTAGAGGATCTACGAGGAGTTTTTGTGGTAGAAGGATGCCTTGATGGTTGATTGGAAGATTCCGAGGTTGGTTCAGTTCTGTGAGCTGTTGTCAATATAGGAGATTGCATTGAACGTGGCTGAGGTGCATGCATGGGAAGATTTGTCGATTGATCTCCCGATGCAGAGAGATTAGCAGGCGTGCGTCGTGGGGGCGGTAAAGAGGGCTTTTTTATCGAAGCCTTCGAGGATGGTTCAGTAGATTCCGAAGTATGGGAGGATGTAGGTCGAATAGATTGTAGCGAGGGTTTTACTGACGGTTTCACAGGTACGGGTCCATGAGAAGAAACAGGCCGGGAGGGTTTCTGCATTGAAGGTTTTGTAGAAAGATTAGGTGTTGGGCCATGAGAAGAAGCAGGTCGAGTATTGTGTATGACAGGCTTCTGCACTGGGGGTTTAGGAGATGGTTTTGGACCTTCGGAACTAGTAGTGTGGGAGGAAACGGGTCGAGGCTGTACGTCAGATTTTGACGGCCCAGACACTGAAGCTTGCGAAGAAGGAGGTCGTGGATGTACCACAGGCTTCGACTTCGACTTGATTTGCTCAGAAATAGTGGCTTGCTCAGAAGCAATTCGAGGTTTCTTTGAGGACTCCGAAGCATGAGAAGAAACCGGTCTGGCCAGCCCTGCCGGTTTCAGAACAGGTATAGGCGCATGACTCGAAGCAGGTCTTTTCTGATCCTGTCTATTCACAATCTCGTTTCCCCTATTACCCACAAGCCCTCCTCCCTTCTTCACTCCCTTACCCGGCTGCTCCCACATCTCCACCAAATTAGACGTAGGAGGAATACTTGATAGATCCACTCTCCTATCCGTACTATCAATCGAACTCGTATAACTCTGTCTTCTACTCGGCAATGGGCTTGCCTGTTTCCCTATTCCCATCCCATAATTTTGACCCGTGTGATTCGGGCTACTTTCCCGACTTCTCTTTGCCGCCAAATTAGCCGCCATAAATGCCGCCGAATTATTTTTCACCTTCGGACTGGTTTCCGATATACCCGAAAATGGGGGCAGTAAATGTCCATTCGGTCTTTGATTTCGGTTTTGAGGCATTCTCTGTCCTCCTTGATATTCCGGCCCTCCAGTAACACTCCCCCCATCCGTTTCACTCTCCTCTGTCCTTTCCCTCCCTACTTTTTGATATCCATGTATCTGCTGTCCACCTGCCATCCCCGCATCCATCACCGAAACCTTAGACGGACTTCTCGCTCTCTCTCCTCCATTATTAGGGGACCCTCCCCCTCCCCCTCCAACCCCCGCCTTTGTAGCAGCCGCCAATGCGCCATCTCTCCCCCCCAAACCATTCCCTCCCAATTGTGTTTTACCCGCAAACTTATTCGGCACCACCGGCGTCACCTTACCCTTCGCATTCGAAAAAGCCAGCGCCGCACCCGTCAATGCCGCACTCTGCACTGCGCCCGTTCCTCTCCCCGTTCCCGTTTCGATCCCCGCTCCTCCCGTATTTATATTTCGAAGCGAATTTGTACTCGGATTATGGGTTATATTGATTCGCTGCGGAGAAGATGTCGTCGTACTCGAATTGGAATGCAAAGTTGAAGTCGAAGCCGAAGCCGACGCCGATGCTGAATTCCCAGGGGCAGATGTCGACGTGGTATCAGAGTGTGTATTCTTCGCACCCGTGGTTTCCGGCCGAGTAATCCTTCCCGGAGTCGTACTACCCTTACCATCTAAATTCGCGTCTGCCATTGTAGCCATGGTACCAGTCACTGCAAACTATCCACTGATATCCTCTCCTATCATATGCAATGCAATGCTAGAATGCACCCTTCATTGGTAAAGCCCGCGACGCAAAGAATTGATATTTCGAGATCATTGGGACGGATACGGATGCAATGGATTTCGCGGCTCAAGTTTCGTGAATCTTACAATCCGGCAATTAAAGATAAAAAGGTAGGTAGGTAGGTAGGAATAGGTATGTAAGGTACTCGTATCGACCTCTACCATACGTATTGTAGTATTCGGCGTATAGTGGAGTCCTTTGATAATCCCGTCATAAGATCATTGCTTATGAGACATGTCAAACCGAATATTCCATCAAATGCACACCCATCAGAACCAGAACCTGACAATCAATTCGATTATTTAATCGTCCCGTTAAAAAAGCAACAAAGTGAATACAGCAATCCTCCTCATAATCAAATAATCAATCACCGTCGCAATAAACTTTGCAAAATGCAGGTATTATATGTCCTCATGCACCCTAATAGGAGATCTCGATATTAAACTTTCTTCCATCCACGTTTGCAGCCATCCGGGTCTAGCTAATTATTGGTTCCAGGCACTAAAGCTAGGCATGGCCCGCAGCTCAGACGCCGCATTGTAGTATCGTAGTAGCATGAAAACATCCCCTAAGCTCAGTTTACCAAGCCTAAAAATAGATTAACGATGGCAGGCTGATAGAAATACTTCCTTCCATTCCTCACGAATCCAGCCCTATGGGGGGAAAAAAAGAAAACAACTTTATATCTAAAATCTAAACATCAACATCAACAACAACAACAACAACTCGAAATCACCTTGAGATATTCTGAGTGAGTGAATCCATTTATCAATTTTGTAATGGCTTTATAAATAATGAGGGAATGATTGATTGGTTATTTATTAAGTTCACTCTAATATGCATCTCATCTAATCTTCTTCTACATACTACTGGTCCGTCTACGGGTGTGCTTGATTACCTGTCCTGTCTATGTATCCATGATTTGATATCAACGAAGCATTTCATCAGATGCAGTATCTTCAGATACCAAGAACGATTTCCATTCCAAGTTGGTAGGCTGGGCACAATCAGATGGATTTCTGGAACAACAATATCACCACTTCTACAGTATTTTTCTTCACACATGCATACATCCCTTCATTCATTCACACTGATTCTCGTAATTAAGCTTGCGTGAGTATCACGAAAGTACCCAAGAAGTATTGTTTGTATCTTCGATTTCTCTTCATATTCTTATATTCTATTTCCTCCCATTCCTCCAGGGTAGGTAGGTATTGGAAAATTTCCAGCCAGTATAATGTCAAACATGTCCCAATGCCCTAGCCATCCATCCCTCCATCCCTCCCTCATCTGAAACCCCAATCCATATATAACTCCAATGTAAAGAAAAGTAATAAAGCAACCCAAGTCGTATTGGACGAGCCGTTTCTAATGAAAACTCCTTTAAACCGCTCACTCGCTATTGCTATCGCTATCGCAGCCCAATGTATGAAAAGTTCAAATCCCAAACTCCTCCAATGTATTCATAAAATAATCAGTCGTAAAATGAAAGTTATTCATCCGCCACCGCTAATTAACACTCGCATTTGTATTTCGTAATTGGTATGCAGAACCACGCCTGCGGACCCTAGGTGCATAACAAGTTTCATTCTCGCATGTGGGATGAGATAATAGCAGTGGGTCCTTGTCTTTTGGACCTGCATTTCCGCCCGCACAACTGGATTTCGAAAATTCCCATCTCCTCATCACTAGGGTTATTAACCTGTCCAAAGAATCATCAGACCACTCCGACTTTACCCGCCATCTCAATTCCATTTTTTTCTCTTCCTTTTTGTAAAGGATCTGCTTGAACCTGGCTTTCTTCACCATGCCATGTCATACCAGTACTGGAGAATCTTCAACTCCAGCCATACACATGATATTCGACAGCCATCTGCGACCGTCGATCTGACAGTCCTTCCAGTCCAGGGAAATTTCAAACCAAAAGCTGCTATTCGATTGTTTGACCAAATATGTAACATAATGGGTAGAAGCCAGTCCATCACAATGCCAAGTAAAAATTTCTAGTCGGAATTCCTCTACCGACTGATAAAATTTTCAATCGAAAGCAAAACACCCAAGATTTCATGTGTCATCGTGCGAACAGCCTTTTTTCGTGCTCCAGGGTAAAAGTGGATAAATTGAATCAATCAATGGGGATACACCCACCCATAGACAGATCGGGGGAATCCGAACATGTGGGACTAGTGTGGTTCTAGAAGGTCGGAACTCGGTATATGAAAAGAGGTGTGTCCGGTAATGAAGCGTAAGTACCGCTTGAGATCCGTCCGTCGGAACCCATGAATCATTAATTTTGAACCAGTCCAATGCCACTGAAATAGTAAAGTCTTGAGAAGCTAAATCTTGTCGAAGAAGGTGTCGCATGAATTGTGCCAGGTAGATGATGTGCATATCTAATTCTGTTTAATAAGTGATTGCAGTCCATCGAAGGGGAACTCCATCGTTTCCAATTTCGTAGGGCTTGCTGGATGCTTGTCTGGGTGGTAGAGCCCATCTTGCTCTTCCTGGTTTGCGGTCGTCCAATTTCCCATTTTTTCTCATGGCCATTTCCATAACTGCAATACGAATAAAATCACTGTTCTCCCTCATGTCGCGTTGACGTGCGACTGGGCCGGTCGCGACCTCGGCAAAAGCTTCCTCGGAATTTCCTTGTCTGCGTCTATTGAGTCCGGTTGGTGGCGTATCTTTTGATGACTTGGAAACCTTGTATGTTTGCATTTGAATAGATGCTGTGCATTGTGTAGCACTCATTGTTTGGGTAAGAGATGTTGGCACATGAGCATCCGTGGGAGCATTTGTCGTGGGGTTGAGATACCGACGTAGTGCTGGAGTGGGTGCATCAACCAGCAAAGGTGGCATCCTTTCATCCGTAAATGGGACCTTCGGGTCAATTGACATGATAGATCTTGTAAGAAAATCATCAGGCGTAATCATAGGTGTTGTGAGACTCGAAAATGATTTTGCCGCAGACCTTAAAGCACGCAGTGATGCAGTTAAATTTGATTTAAACGCGGACTTGCGGCGTGGGGGTTCGACACCGGTGGTATTCTGTTGATCCTTGGGTAAATCGGATGGTCTCTGAAAGACTCTAAAGTCAAGCTCTTCAACATCGACATCTGATAAAGGATGGTCGTGCAGAGTATCCTCGCCCGCAAATGTTGGTTGATACCTCCTGGTTGGTAGAGACCTTCGCCCTCTTGAACTCGGTGTTAATATTGAGCCTGGTGGAGTTGATGCATCACTAAGGGAAGCATCATCCAAAGATGGTACAGACTCGCTGGATGTAGTCCTGCTTGACATGACTGATCCCGGACCATTCTCCGAACTGTAACAATCGGTCGAATCGGTTTCTTCTGGAGGACTCAACAATAATTCCATGGGACTCATACCAAATGTTATACTAAGTTCTTTTTCCGATACGGCAGTATGTTTTAATATGGCATCCACTGTCAATCTTTGTCTTGATATGCCATGTGTGCGAGCATTCCTATTTGATCTGGGAGGCGGAATGGCCGTAATCGCCAACAAGGCAGCGACCGAGGGAGGAATAGCATCCGGCGAATGGGCATCGTAGGGGCGACGACTCGATCGCACCGAGTGATTTTTGGTAGTTTGACGACGATCCTTCCTTGGCTCGAATCCTAAACCATTTTTGAAACTATCGTGGTGACTTCTTGTAGGAATCACCACTGGCGAAGACGTAAATGTGGTCGTAACATCAGTACCGAAAGTTGACTTTGGCATGATATCTGAGGTTTGTTCATAACTGAGATTGGAATTTGGGTTGGTAGAAGAAGAAGCTGGAGTTGAAGTCGAAGTCGAAGGTTTCGATTTCGGCTTTTGTGTTGTGAATAATGAGAATGAGGTAGGCATCTTGTTGCTCGCGTGCCCTGAGAGTTACCGCATAAACCAGTTGTGTGTATTTATTACTTGATAGAAACCAAATTTGTCGGGGATTTGAATAATACGTTCAACGGGATTCGTTCTTGGAAAAGTAGAAAGAATTCTGAATGGAAAACAATTTATAAAATCTTATCGGAAGGGATATCGAGCAGTTTTGCATAATTTCCAAATGGACAATACTGAAAGTCAATGATCGCAGTACTCGGATTGTACGGTGATTCAAGAGCTTATCATGATATGATTGTCGGATAACAGTAGGGTGTGGATGTTGGTATGATAACACCAAAGGAAGTGTTACTACTGTATAGTAGTTATATGGTCGATTTGATAGAAGAAGGAGTGTAATGAATTCAACCTTCTCATTTACCAAAGGTGTGTTGAGAGTGTATTGAGAGTGTATTGAGATGACAACAGGGGAGAACGAGAAGGAAGGAATGTAGATATGGATGTTTATTAAGCAAAAGTCAATCGACAGAGAGGGCGAGAGAGGGCGAGAGAGATAGGTAGTTCAGCTGATTTGAAGTGAATCACTAGGTACTTGGGTAGGCACTTTAAAATGAAGGCTAAGATACCGGTAGGTCGTAAGTTCGTAACTTTGGAAGAATGACTTTTTGAGGAAGGGGCCGATAGTCTTATTAAAAGATAAGCTAGGAAGGAGAGAAGGCAGGAAGGCAGGAAGAGAAGGGAGGAGATAAGCGATGATAATAATGATGATGATGATGAATCTACTTGGCTACTTTTAGATGACTAGTAAGTACGAAGTAGATTTGACTTGTCTGACTGACTGACTGACTAACAGACTGATTGATTGATTGATTGATCGATTGACTGACTGTTTGACTGAGACTGAGACTGACTTGACTGATTGATTGATTGATCGATTGACTGGAGACTTTCATGACATTTTAGCATCAGCTCTAAAAGGGAGGGAAACCTGGAGTAATAAACTATCCTCGCTATCCTCTTGTGTTTACTATCTAATGGTCACTAGTATGCAGATCGGATAAGCTTT